GTATCCATAGTGTTGCCAGGATAAGGTACCCAGCCTTATCCATATACTATAGACCCTTTAGGTTATTCACGGGACATTATTCATTCATATATCAGCGGTATATCAAATATATACCCCGTATATCAACTATATACCCAGTATATATACTGTCCCGATTACATCACAAATAACCTTGGATGTTTAGTTTATTGGATTTGGATAATGCAAAGCTATGATTTAACAACAAATTTATTGAATAAAACTTTATTAAATAGATATTTGTTTTTACAAAATACAAACTACAAGTTTAGGGCAACACACCCAACAGTCCTGCGGTGATAAACACCATCCACAAGGGTCCGAGCGAGGGGCAGTCTGGGCAGAAGAGGAAAGCTTTGGCCCAAGAAGCCGCGCACGAGGTCTGCACCTCGTACTCGAGGGAGCCCGTTGTGCCGATCTTATTTGATGACCAAGACGGTGAAGGAGTGCACATGCCCCATAATGACGCCCTAGTAATCGCCCCACTAATAGATCACGTGAAGGTCAGAAGAGTTCTTATGGACGGTGGAGCGTCGGCTAATATCTTGTCCTTCTCGACCTACACGGCACTGGGGTGAGAGAGGAAGCACTTGAAGCACAGCCCGACACCCTTGGTCAGCTTTGCCGGGGAGTCAGTTAGCGCAGAGGGATGCATCTCGCTCCTTGTCACCGTCGGCGAAGGAGATCAGCAGGTGACCAAGGTCACAGAGTTTGTGGTAATAGATCGAAGCTCGGCGTACAACGCCATGCTTGGTCGGCCTCTGATTCACGACGTCAAAGCAGTCTCGTCCACTTACCACTAAGTGTTGAAGTATCCGACCCCGGCTGGAGTCGCAACAATCTGAGGAGAGCGGAAGACGTCGAGAGAATGCTACACAGCTGCGATGGAAGAAACTAACACTTGTGCGGCAATCATGGAGCTAAAAGCGACCGCGCCACCACATACCGACGAAGTAGAGCCTAGCCGCGGCACCCCAACCGAGGAGCTAGACTTGTCCCCTTGCTGGGGCCGGATAAGCAAGTCAGCGTCGGCAGCAGACTGAGGGCTCGGGTGAAGGAAGAACTTGTCGACTTTCTGAAGGCAAATTTCGACGTGTTCGCATGGTCTCACGACGACATGCCGGGCATCGACCCAAGTATAATAGTGCATAGACTTCGTGTAGATCCTAGCTATAGGCCTGTGAGGCAAAAGCGTCGTCCTTTCGACGCCGAGCGAAGCAATGTAATTTGTAAAGAAGTCGAGCAGTTGCTACGAGCTAATTTCATAAGAGAAGTTCACTACCCCGCGTGGCCGTCCAATGTAGTTAAAAAGTCTAACAGCAAGTGGCGTGTCTGTATTGACTTCATGAGCCTTAACAAGGCGTGTCCGAAAAACAACTTTCCCCTACCTCGGATAGATCAGCTCGTCGACGCAACAGCAGGGCACGAGCTACTCTTCTTCATGGACGCCTACTCCGAGTACAACCAAATTCGGATGCATGCGCCCGACCAAGAGCACACCACGTTTATTACCGACCAAGGGCAGTATTGCTACAACGTCATGCCTTTCGGTCTGAAGAACGCCGGGACGACCTACCAGCGGATGGTCAACATGATGTTCGCCAAACAGATCGGACGCAACATGGAGCTATATGTGGACGACATGTTGGTGAAGAGCAAGCAGACGAGCTCACATTTGGCCGACCTCGCAGAGGCCTTCAGCGTGCTTCGGAAGTATTGGATGAAGCTAAACCCAAGCAAGTGCGCTTTTGGGGTCTCGTCAAGAAAGCTCCTCGGGTTCATGGTCCACGAACGCAGAATTGAAGCCAATCTAAACAAGATAAGAGCAGTCTTCGACATGGAGGCACCGAGGAATATTAGGCAGCTGCAGAGGTTGAATGGTCGTCTGATAGCCTTGAATCGCTTCGTATCTCGCTCCATTGACAAGTGCCACCATTTCTTCCAAACGCTAAGGAAAAAGGGTCGGTTCGAATGGACCGACGATTGCGAAGCAGCACTTCAGCAGTTGAAGTAGTACCTCAGCACGGCCCCATTGCTGTCCAAGCCACTTCTGGTGACGTTCTCTACCTGTACTTAGC